TTCTCAAGGTTAAACACCAGAGGGCCCAGTCCTAAAACTTCCTCACTGCAAAGAAGAGCACACTTTGGATTAAACCAGTGTTTTAATTGTGGGTCCATGCTGTCATCTTTTTTCAGAACATCTGTGACATATATCCTCTCACAAATGTATTATCCCATCTATACAGAATAATTTGGATGGAAAATAGGTTTACATGCCAATTTGGAAAAAAAAGGAAAAGAAAAGATGAAAGACAGCTGAGGAGGGATGAAGGGAGGGAGAAAGGAGGAAGGAAGGAAGGAAGGAAGGAGGGCAGTGTGGAAGTATAGGATGAATAGGTAAGATAATTTAACAGTATAACAGTATGGTATTGGGAAAATATATTTTAAAAACAAAATCTTCTTCCAACACAGAAAACCTCTCCAGGAAAAGAGTAGAGAAAGAAAACACTCTTATTATTGAATAAGCATTGAACCAGAAAGCGAAGCAAATCACCGGTAATCCACAAAGAGATGCAAAGACAGAAAAAAATCTCCCCCCTTCCCTTCTATAGCCAAGCAGACACAACCCAGTACACACATGTCCTCAAGTCAGAGGACCTGACAGCACCATTTGTCACCAGTAGGTCATCCTAATTTCACCTGCTAGTTGGGGTGACCATCCACATTGGCTACTTGGCTTTTTCCAGAGGAAAAACGCATCTCTTCATGAAAGGAAGTAGCTTTGCGATTTGGAGCAAGGCACCCACCAAAGTTAGGTTCCTGCCTGCCCCCAGAGACTGGGAGATGGGCGCTGTCTCCCTTGATGTTTACATTTTAAAGAGATGCCTCCTGGTCCTTGAGAAAGACATTCCCAGGCCAGAAAGCTGACAAAGGGCCTATACCTTTCAAAGAGAAGAGAAAGTATGTGCAATTACAAGTTTTCTAAAGTAAGTGCTCTGAGAAAAAGGAGGAGAGGGAAATCTCTTCCCTTATTTTCAACAGGAGGAATTAACCCTCTTATTTTGAATTTGTATTTGTCCTTACAGTGAGCCCCACTGATTTTAACCCGAAATAACACCCCTGGATTGTCTCTGAGGTTTGGGTTACTTGCCCTGACGGAAGGGTGGAAGGGCCGGCAGGAGTCTGAGCTGAAGCTTCTTTGGTTCTGAGAGCTCTGGGGTCTCCCAGGTCTAAGCGCTACTGTGCTCTGGGAGTTTGGTTCCGGGAGGTCCCCACGTATCCAGCTCAGCGCTTCTCCCACCTTCGTGCGCACGCAGACTTGGCCTCGGGCTTCCCGGGGTGGGCCAGGGTTCTGTGTTTCTAACCTGCTCCCAGGCAGTGCTGCAGCTGCTGGCCCAAGGCCCGCCCCCTGAATAACAAGCAGCTGTGTTCGCTTATCCTCATAGGTGCAAAAACCCACCACGTACCAAACACACGTTCTGGGGTAAATTGTTTCGCCTCATTAATTTCAGGGAGGAAAGACCCATAAATGAACTAAGAAAGGTAAGAAATCGTTTCCTAGAACAGCAGAGATTTAGAGCCTTAAAGTGGCCTTAAATACAAATCCATCCTGTCTGCGAATACTTTTCAGTTTCCATTTTTACGGTAGCACATTCCTCTGTCAGACAGCTTAGAGTTTTACATATGGAGATGCAATCTACTTCTTTATACTTCTGACCCATTGGGTCTACTTCTGTCATCTGGAACTACAGAAAATAAAATAAGATAGAAAAAACTAACATCTCCCAAACACTTTACAGCCTATAAAGCAAATTTATGTTGATTACCTGATTTTATCAACATAACCCTTTATATATTAGTAGCCAGTAGTTTTTTCACCACTGTCTTATCTTCTGTAGGTGAAACTCCCCGGGGTTTCCAGATTCTTCACCACCTTGATTTCCTTCATTTATACTCACTGTAGTTGTTAGTGCCTCCTTTTAATTGGGTACAAATTAATGGCAATTAAAGAATTAGACCTATCTCAAAAAATACTTCCTAGTAAGCACTTCCTTAGCACAAACACTACTTTTTGTTAAGTTAAAATGCTGCGTTGTCTTCTTTTCTTGCAAATAGAAATAATCAAAATATTCTTATTAGGAAAGTATGATATAGGTTTGTTAAACATTTTTCTCCTCTTTTGCTAAGCAGATTTGTTGTAAACTTTTGCTTTTATCTCACATGTCATACTACATTAGAGGAACCAAGACCTCAGAGAAGAAGAAAGCCTGTTATGAAGCCCCTGACTGCCCCAGGGCTCTCTCCATGCTGCACACAGTGCGGGAGGGTTGCAGTGTCAACTCACACTTCATCTTGGTCAGTTCAGACTCCCAGATATGCTGCCGCTTCCCTTGCTTATCTCCCCAAAACCACCTCCACCGATGAAGAGGAAGGGGTATGTGGCCTCCCAGCAGTGGAGGAGGGCAGAGCCTGGCGCTGGCAGACACGGAGTCCTCGGTGTGCCCTGGCTGGCACTGCACACCCTGCTGGGTCCAGATTCCTGCTGCCGGCCGGGCGTCCTACAGATGGCGAACTTGTGCTTTATTCTTCCGGCCCCTGGGAAACTTCTGGGTCTCCACCATGTCCGCTATCCAGTCCCCTGGCTTGTGAAGAGTTGCCTGCAGTGCTGTTCCCAAGACTGGCCGACTGTGCGTCAACTCAGCTTCTATAGTGTTGAACTGAGAAAAACCTCAGAAGCACCAGGGAGACCTTGCTCTGTCTGACCACACTGCTCCCCTCTCCTCACGAGGCCCTGCGCAGAGCAGGCTCCTCTCAGAATTCCAAATGGCAGGGTGGAGCGCGGGCCTCCCCCCCTCACTGCCTCCCACAGCCTGTGCCCCGACGCCTCCACACCGCACGCTACTGCCGCTTCCCCAACCAGCGCCAAGAAGGGAAAGCAGGATGACATCTCCCGTCTCACCTGCCTTCTCTCTCTCCTTCACCATCTCCTGGGATCAGAAAAGACTGTCTTCCCCTACATCCTTGTCCGGGTCTACACTTCCTTTACCTAAAACTATGACCAGACCCGCTAAACCTTTCTATTGGCACACTAAAAGAACCGATGAAAAAATTCAGATAATTTGTTCAAATAATGTGGAACACAAGGCTTGATTCTTGCTGCACAATCCTATTCTTTTGATGCAAGAAGCTGAACGTTACCTTTCTCTTTGCACCCTCAGCAGGCACTGTTAGTTGTCTCTTCAAATGCTTCCTTCCTTCTTCCTTGCACCAAGAACCCTGATTTTGTAGCATGCGTCTGCGCGTGTCAGGGGAGGCTGAACTCCTCCCTAATCTGTTTGCTGATATCGATTCCTAGGACTGTGGCAGCCATTTTGAGACCATGAGGATACCTAGACATAGGGGAGACTGGTGACACTGAGAAGGCGGAGCAGATAAATGGGAAAAAAATGATTCCTTGCTGTTGTCACTGAGCTGCTGAATTAACCAAACTTAAACGTGCCCTAACTCAAAACTTCCTATATGAAATAACACATTTTCCTCATTCTTTAAACCATTTCCACTTGGATTTTTCTTATTTGGAGCAGAAAGTATCCAAATTGATGTGTCGTCTTTCTGTAACACTCTCCTCCAAGGCAGATGAATAACTTGGCCAACTTGGGCAAGATAGTAAAGGAAACTAATGATATTAATAGGATTAGCCCTAGGAATAGCAGGTATGAAAGTCCAGAGTTCTCTCTCTCACTTAAATTCTCACCACCATTGCCCTAGTTTACAAAGTCCCCATCATTTTTCATAACAAGTTGCACAGCTAGTCTGACTGCCATTCATCTCAACTGCCACCTCCAAACTGTTCTCTGAAGCTATTCTGGAGTCTCTTCCTAAAACACAAATCTCATGTGACTCTCTTACTTAACCGCCTTCCATGGCGCCTCATGGTCTCCATGATGAAATCCAACCTACTGTGCACGGTCTACAAAGCCCAGCACGACCTGGCCCCTGCCTACTTTTTCAGCTTCTGTTTCTGCTTATCACTGCCTGGCATTCTGTACCACAGTCCCTCAAAATTGCAGAAACTCTGAATGAACTGTGTCATTTCTTGCCTCTGTGCTTCTTTGAAGCTATTCCTGGTACTCCAGATCAGCTCCCTCAGGTGCTAAGGACTGACAAACCTTCACTTGTCCTTCTTGACTCAGTGGAAACCTCACTGCATCCAGGAATACCTCCCTGAGAGCCCTGGGAATGGTAGGTGTGCTAGGTGTTGTGTGTTAACTGTGCCTTGTCTGTACTTGTCCTGTGGCAATTCTCACACAGAACTGCACTTCGCCTATGTCTGTCTCCCACATAGACTCTGAATTTACTGAGAAAGAAACCTTGTTGAGTTTGGTCTCTTCATCACTTAGCACAGCTCCTAAGATCCAGAGAGACAGCACAGCATAGCCCAAGTGCTGGCTGGGTTCAGATTTTGGTTCCATTGTATCCTGGTTATAAGACTTTGAGCAAGTAATTCACTTCTCTGTGCTTTAATTTCCTTACCTACTAAGTGGGAAAGATAATAATAGCTGTAAGTACTATTACTGAATAGTAATAATAGCATCGCTGTGAGGACTGAGTTTATTCATGTACAAATATTTAGAAGTGTCCAAGTAAGAGTAAGTACCAAATAAATACCATGTTTTGTAATTAGTACTGGTATGCAATAAATATCTGTGAACTGTACTGAAGGACTGCAGCTGCTCTCTAGTCCATGCTCTTCTCTAGGGAACTAAATGGTTTTGGAAGTCACAGACTATAAGGGCAGTGATTTCTGTTCCCGAACTTATTTATGCTACAGCCTATGATGCTCCAGTCATACAGAGAGGGTTTATCAAGTGCCCAGTGTTTGCAAGAACTGTGAAGGCTGTGTGCACTACTGCTTCTCACATAGATCCCACAGCAAACAAATGTATACATTTAATCTGAGCCCCTGACTCATCTCTCGCTTGGTGCTGAGGTCCCCACAGAGCCCAGAAGGACGAACAGGTGAGTTGACACAAGCACACTGGTGGAATCCTGGACTCTGCATCAGAAAACAGTACTAAGGCGCTTGCTTCGGCAGCACGTATACTAAATTTGGAACGACACAGAGAAGATCATTATGGCCCCGTACAAGGATGACACGCAAATTCGTGCAACGTTCCATATTTTCTGTAAATCAACTATAGTTAAAGAAATAAACAGGTAAATAAATAAGAAAACCATACTAAGAGCTGTGTGGTCTTGGGAAGTCACTTAACCTGACTAAACCTCAGCTTCCATATGGAAAACGGGGGTGATAAAGCCTGCTCTATCTACCATATAGAGCATATATAGAAATAGATGAATTAAATGTGAAATGTTAAGCACTTAATGTACCAAAGCAAGAGATTTGCTAATTACCCCCATCAAAACCTTCTCTGGGCTCTGCAGAGTCAGTTTGTCTGACCCATAGAAACTTCCTGTAATATCCTCAAGGGACAACCCCCCAGCAGGAGACCTTGCCTAGGTCCTGACTTTAACGTATTGTGTGTGCCTGTGTGTGTGTGTGTGTGTGTGTGTGCGTGTGAATGCCTCACATGTCTATCTACTCTCCTTATTATACCTTACATCCTAAGAAATCCAATTACTTACTATATTCCTATCAGGAATAAAATAAAAGATTTCATTCTAATGACTACCAGACAGTAGAGTACAATTAGCTTCAGATGAGTATGAAAGCGCATAATGTTCTAGTTTACCAGAAAACAAGGAAACCTAGTATATCCAGCAGCAATTTTTCTTGCTTCTTATTCTTGCTTTGTGGTGAAGCTGAGAATAATGCCCTTAGGTTTTTCTCACTATATATGTAGATGGAGAGAAGAAAGGAGCTGCAATAGTACAAACTCAGAGAAGGTGCAATTAAAAAGGCTAAAATAATTTGTTGCTCTTTTTAACACAGTGTTTCCTTACTATCAAAGTCACCTCAAATCAACAATTCTAACATAATGTAATTCAACAAAAATATTATTTTAGGCATAAGAAAATTTCATAGGAGGAAATCTATTGGATGAAGTATCGCTTGTGGTGTAATTTTAATTCTGAAAGATCTTGCTAAGAGGGCTTATTTAAATAGGTTCTCCCTGAGATGAATATTTAGGGGGAAAAATTCCTACACGATGATTTATAGCAAAATTATATGAACAGAATGAAGGACAGAAGAATTTTATTAGAAAAGGGTCTCATTTCCACAAAATATAAATTATACCTTTTAGAAAATATATTGAATTTTATTAATATTCTGTAGACAGCCTGAAGTGTTAATCTCCACCCCTACCTATAAGACTTTCATTATGATGTACAAGGTGTATTTACCCTTTAACCAAATAATTTTGAGCAACTCATTGGAGCCTCCAGTTTACATATCCTACAAAATATTTTCACTGCAGTTACAAAATCTTATACTTCGTATTGTTGGCAACTTTCAATGATACATATGTGGGGATGTATACTTTATACACACATATGTGTGCTTTTCGTATTACCATGCAAGAAAGCATATTAATGATGAACTCGTATTTGATACCTGAAAAGAATGTTTCTCCAACACCCACTGTTTCTGTTATTTTTGTTTTAACCATTTTTAAGTAGAGATACAATCGGTTTGAGTTTTTCAGTGCTATGATTAAAATTCTGCTTTACTTCATCTTTAAATTTATAGTTAGAGGAATTACTTGGGATAGACCACTGAGTACTGTATTTCTGCCTGGCATTTGCAAGTGACCTCATTTAGACCTTGGTAACTAATATTTTTGATGAAGAAGTTAACTTATTAGGATTCAGAGAACTTGGTTATAAATCCTTTTCCGGTCTCTATGAGTCTTGAAAATTGAGTCGTTCTGGGGATGGTGACTTTGTCGTTGCAAACAAGAGTAAACTGACCAAAAATGCAGTGTGAATTTCAGCAAGGACAAGACAGAATTTAGGGTTTATACTATTTGAAAGTGAAGACTGAGAACAAGAACGAGGACAAATCCAGGAGACTAAAAGACTAGACTGATTTTGACTTGTAAATAAATATTATTAAATGCTTTTCTCTTACCTAAGTATACATCAAATGCAGCAATCGATATATCTTACCCTCCTAGGGCATGCAGAATAGAAGGCAGACTCCCTGTCCTATTCAAAATACCTGTAAAATATGCTACTGCACAAATTCTTATTCTCTATTTATAAAATGGAACAAACCTGGTTTTAACAGCTGGGCCTAAGTTTAAACTAGAAGCCAAGCCTTTCTTTATGCCTTAAAAAAATATTCCAGGGGCTTCCCTGGTGGCGCAGTGGTTGGGAGTCCGCCTGCCAATGCAGGGGACACGGGTTTGTGCCCCGGTCCAGGAAGATCCCACGTGTCGCGGAGCGGATGGGCCCGTGAGCCACGGCTGCTGGGCCTGCGTGTCCGGAGCCTGTGCTCCGCAGCGGGAAGGGCCGCATCAGTGAGAGGCCCGCGTACCACAAAAAATATATATATATATTCCAATGATTCTTCACTGAGCAGTAATGAAGGCTGGCTTCTGTTTCCGTCCCCATGAAGAGGAGAACACTGAAGACATCGCTCTTCAAAGTAGCTGGGCATTTGAAAGCATAACATCTTGGCATTTTACCCAGGCCCTTATCTAAATCTAAAGCCCTGGGGAACTGCACAGGAGGGAAATCTCTAGTATTTATTATTGGTCAAAATGCCAAACATCTCCAGGTAGTAAAACTGAAGTACGAAGATACATTTTAGCACAAATATTTCTGGCTTGCCCTCAGAATAAATGCTCAAATTCAAGAATCCATAGCTTCTTCATTTGGATAAAAAATATAAAACAAAACATTAAACCTAAAGGCCTATCAATATATGTCCCTAAAAGAATAAATGAGATGGAAAAAAAGAAAAAAAGATTTTAGAATTGCCTCTATTAATCTATAAGGAAACACAAGCATCATTCTCTATCCATGGAATTTTAGAGTTGTAGGAATTCTGACAAGATTCTCTAATCTACCACACACGTTCCCATTTGAGGAAACCAACTCAGAGTTGTTGTGACATGTCTAAGGCCGCACAGCCAACCAATGGCAAACCATGACTTGAACCAGCGTCTACCCAAATCTGCATATATCTTCACCTGCGTTGTTTTTCAGGAGCACAGGGCTCAGGCAAAGTTCAACACTGTCAAAAGATATCAAATGTAACCTTTGCTTTTAAGGGGAAACAAACCAAATTAAATCTATCTCCAATCAGCAAAACTTGATTCCCTCTTTACATCCTCCCCTCTGGTTTTCATAACTTATCATTACAGATGAAAAAACTGAAGTGTGGTGATATTAGAACTGGTGACTACAGATAAATCTTCAATAAATTTCAAACCCTATGTGGGTAGTCTGGGCCTCTTATTTTTTGTTGTAAATTTATTTTAGTTTTTTCATTTATGTATTTACTTAACCCTCACCATCTTCCAATCAGAACTTAAGATGGCAGAGAAGTTACCTATGCATGGGTTCTTTACCCCTTCTCAAGCCTCAACATGTATCAGTCAGAAATTAATGTAGTAAGAAGTGACCAGGCCATTTTCCTTCTTGGTTCCACCTGATGACTTCTCCTGGTGTCCCATCGCTACTGTGAATATTCCCAGAACCACCCAAGACAACATGGAAAGGTGAAGCGCAGTTACCACAAGATACAATTATTTAATAAAGCAAACACAGTCTGCTGGTTTCATTCACATTGCTTATATCTCTACAGAACTGACCCAAATTTTAAAATATAGGTTATTCATTTCTAAGGCTTATTCCTAGGTGTTAGCTAAGAATTTTAGGCCTTTATTTAAGTAACATGGTTTTCCCAAAGTCTCTGTAAGCAATCCTAAGCCCTAAAATAACCAGTCCTGGGGAAACTTCTTTCTTTGTCTACTTATCATTCAACTGCATGCTTTGGTCCCTCAAGCTATTGTCAATAAAAATTTTGCATACCAAAAGAAAAAAGAGAAGATGTGAAATATTCCCTTTGACAGCATTTGATGCTTTTAAAATAAAAAGTCAGCATCCCCTCTGCTATATATAAGCTCAGAGCATCACACTCAGTGGCATCTTTTCAAATGGCCTGAATTGTATTCTTCGCTTCCCTTGATTTATCCCCCCGTTGGCCCCTTCAGGAGAGCATCATTTATTTTCTCCTGCCCCTCTGTCTTCTATATTTCATTTCAGGTGTCTATCGAGGCAATGAAAGATAAAGCTCTTTGCTTTCCCATGTACTAAAGTTCTATATGGAATCAGTTCACCTGTCTGTCACTCTTCATTAAATTCTTACCCTCTTCACTCACATCCTGATCTTTGCAAATGAACATTTGCTTAATAAATGTTCCCAAGACTAACAGTGCAGAGAGAAAATCCCACACAGCAGTGAATTATTAACTCAGTCACAGAGGGAGTGCCATATATGACTTTTCAGAATGAGTTATTATGTGGATCATCATGTAATTATGAATTTTTCAAGCCATGATAGAGGAAAATTGAATATTTAATATTTTATGGACATATTCTACACTGAGGACATCTTTCAAACTTTTATGATAATTTTTAGAGTGAGTGAAGAGCAGAACAAAAGTTACAAAATAATTGCAAACTTGAATATTTAATCAGCAGGGACATTGTTGATTATTTCTCAAATTATGTAATGTAACCAAGGCTGTGAACTGTTAATCATAGTGTATTCAAATGGAGAAAAGAAAGGGCATTAAAATCAATCTATAGATATATTTTGGTTGTTTAAGAAATAAGAATACAGAGCTTAATGTTGTCGAATTGAGACCTTAGGGTATAAATATTCATGTGAGAGGCAATCTTGAGTGATTTGTTCTAAATGAGCTATTGTTGAACAAAAACTTTTTAAAATGAGCCAATTTAAAATGTTCAATATCAACACCAAGGAGTAAACAGTAAAATATCTTAAAATGACTGACCAAAAATAAAATAGAAAACTGAAATTGGCTTTTGTCCGAAAAATTAAAAATTGTAGGAAGTATTTTATAGCTTTGATGAAAAAAAATAAAGGAAAAATTTAAAGATAGACAATTCCATGCCAAATAACAGACAATAAAATTTTGTTATGAGTTGCCCTGTGTCCTTTACACAGATTCATGCATTCACATCATA